GAAAAAAACAAGGTTCCTACATTTTTAAACTTTGACTCAATCATTGTACAAATGTTTTGATTCAGTGGGATGTATACAGCCAGCATCACATATCACTGCATCATCCAAGTAAGAAACAAAACATTGAATCAGAGCCTTTTCTTGTCTCCTCTCTTCATAGTTATCTGCCATCCACCTTCCGGCGTGGCAACAGACATCTTTGCCCATTTTCGGCATGTTGACCACTGTCAGAGGGCAACAAAATTTCTTATTTTTTTTTCCAAAATCAGGCGAAAATTAATATCATCCATAAAAATTACTTGCTGTGGCCTTACATGAAAAAGAGGGGAGTATAAGTAGAATCACCTAGCCATCTTAAATAATATACAAATTAAAGTTATTCTCATTTTTGTCACCACATGAATCAAGCATAAGATTTTACTGACATTCTTGGCTTAAAATTTAGATTTTTGGGCAGTTTTCATTTTTAGCTTTTCACCTGCAAATGCCAATGACAAAAGAAATAACTTCATCATTTTGTTTCGAAAAGACTTGAGTTCTGTAGCTAGAAGTTAACATTTTTACATACCGGTAATCTGTCTGAATGTCTTTTTTTGCAAATGCGTCACTGATGGTATGGAAATATTTCTGGTAGAGCCAAAAATGCCTATAAAACGTCTAGCGGACATTAGACATGATTTAAACATTGCTGAACAAAGGCCAGTCAGGAGAACATTAAGTAGACATAGTTACTGAAAAATGACATCGAAATAACCCAAGGTGGACATTTTATATCCATAGTCTCTTCACACGTCAGGTAGGGACACCCCTAGGAGACAGTCCTTTGTTTAGCACAATGCACACTTATAAAGATATTAGCATCTTTCCATTAATTAATGGTGTCCTGCCCTATAAATTGTCTTGGCTTTGTGTAGTGCTTTTCATATGGATGCCAGTTTTCACAGTTTTTTCTAAAGACATTCTGACAGACACCTCATGAACAATGGAAAACACAACAAGCAAGTCCTCCCCAAAAAGACCCTGTAAAGACCTGGGAAAGACATTCTTACAAATGTTTAAAAAATGTGCAGAACTTTCGAGAATGTTAAATGTCTGTAAGACGTTTTATAGACATTTTTGGCTCTACCAGTGAATGTCATTATGACATTTCCATACCGTCAGTGATGCATTTGCTTGTTTCTTAAATTCTTGTTTTCAGCAGCTTTCATTGTCTACTTACATGTAATACCCACAAATCCCTTCACCTGCTATCAAACACAGAGAATTCTGGGTAAAATTGGGGGCAAACAAAAATCACCATTCACCAATTTCACACTTCCCATAATGCCTAGTAAAGATCACGGATATGGATGGGATATGACGTAAGAAGGGGATATACGTAATGCGACCGTGCGAGTAGGAGAGTCTTCGGTAGAAGGTATAGAACGATAGAAGGTACGCCATTTTCTCTCATTCCAACAAAAATGCAATTATGGCATGCGCTTTATACTAGATAAATAATTCAAAACAATAGTTGTGACCAGTTTGTCGATAGAACTTGTTGGAAATATTACATCAAGGAAGGGGGAGGGGGTGGTCTTACGTCATATCCGTGATCTTTACTAGGCATTATGGGAAGTGTGAAATTGGTGAATGGCAACATAGAGTGGACTGGACAAGCACGTCGGCAGAACGTACTGCGCCGGCGCGAATTGAAACCCTGATTTTTTACGGTTTTCATTGGATATTAGGACACCTTTGCATTAGAATTTTGGCTGTTGCAGAGGACACCTTTTCCGACACAAAATTTGGAAACTGCAGACGGGGTGTTAACCTTACACGTGCAAATATGACATTAGGCCACACCAATTTAATTTCTTGGTTAACGGATTCGCCCGCTTCATTTTTTTCTGATTAATAATAATGCAAATAAAAATAAAAATTCAGAATCAACTGCAAAATGCTCATATTTTGCCCTGAACAGTTGAAAACAGTCCTTTTCGTCCTAATTGTTACAGTTATTCCATCTTTCAATGCAATGGTATCATTTATTTTAAAAGTTCAAAATTCATTGTTTAAATTTTGAACCAGCCTGGTGTGTTGACTTCATGGTTCCTATCGTACCATTTTGGGCCATAATAGGATGCCTAGGCCTGTTTTTATTTTTATTTTTCACCCGCCGATTATTTTTCTAGAAAAATCCGTTAACCAAGAAATTAAATTGGTGTGGCCTTATATGAGACGTTCTGATGAAATGCTACGCACATGTACAATCATAATACATTACGGGTTTCACACAAGCGCATGCAGTACGTTCTGCCGACATGCTAGCTATGCATACTGTGTCATCATAATAATGCATCCTTGTTATGGTGATGCATCATTTGCAAAGTACATTCATTAGGCCACACCAATTTAATTTGTTGGTTCTCGGATTTGCCTCTTCATTTTCTTCTGATTTGCAAAAAAAAAAGATTCTGGTTCTGAATCAACTAAAAATTTCTCATATTTTGCCCCCAAAAGTTGAAAACAGTCCTTTTCTTCCTAGATGTTACAGTTTTTCCATCTATCAATACAGTGGTTTGATTAAAAGTTCAAAATCCATAGATTTTAACCCAGCCATTTGTGTTGACTTCATGGCTCCTATCGTAGCATTTAGGGCTATGCCTAGACGGTGAGCAGACCTGTTTTTATTTTTATTTTTTTTCGCCCCGTCGCTTCATATTTTTTCCGAACGACTCTGAGAAGCAACAAATTAAATTGGTGTGGCCTTACCAATAGTTCTGTGATCCATGAAAAGGTCTAAAATGCAACATTGTACAACACATGCTTGCAATGTGTATCAACAGCCTCTAGATCTGTAGCACAACTTGTAACATTTAGAAAAGCCCTTGGCATTAGCTATTTGTATTTTAACAGGATGAGTCTGAACTAAGGCCACACCAATTTAATTTCTTGGTTAACGGATTCGCCGCTTCATTTTTTTTCTGATTTGCAAATAAAAATGAAAATTCAGAATTGACTGCAAAATGCTCATATTTTGCCCTGAACAGTTGAAAACAATCCTTTTCTTCCTAGTTGTTACAGTTATTCCATCTTTCAATGCAAAGCATAATGGTATCATTAAAAGTTCAAAAATCATTGTTTAAATTTGAACCAGCCTGGTGTGTTGACTTCATGGCTTCTATCGTATCATTTTGGGCCATAATAGGATACATGTACCTAGGCCTGTTTTTATTTTTTTTCGCCTGCCCACTCCATTATTTTTCTACAAAAATCTGTTAACCAAGAAATTAAATTGGTGTGGCCTAAGGAAGAAGACTGCGCAGCTGTAAAGTCTTTTGGAGATTTTTCCTATCATTTTAAAAGACGTCAAATTTCTTTCACTTTTTGAAGGGCTCGAGTTTAAAACCTACAACAATGAAATACTCATTTGTAATGCTAGATTGCTGTCATAATCATTGATAGGAAAATTGTATTTTGACAACATATGCGCAGAAAGATAGACTAAACTTAATAACAATGTCATAAATGCCTTTAGTTCTCATAGCAGATGTAATCGTATATTATGCTCATACCATAATAACTTTGTCATGTACGTTTAATATTACATGACATTTGTTACCACATTTTTGCTGTATACATACTAAAATTCTCTTGTGCCTAAAGCAAGACTTGACAAAATTTACCAGTTTAATTTCCTAGTATGTTTTTTTAGGCTGATGACTACACTGTGACAGGTGCACTTTTTGGTGCACATACAAAAGAAGTTTATAACTACATGTACTACGTAAAACACCACATATAAGCCTCGGTCACAACCCGCCGTACGTGCTTCTGCGTGCTGTCTACGTGCAAAAACGTGTGCAAACGTAGGGCATCCGTGCGTGGTGAGTACCACCTCCGCACGGAATCCTACGGATTTTGGAGCACGCAGACACGCCGTAGAACTTTAAGTGCATGTAAAACTTTTTCTGCGTGCGGTCTGCGGATTCACCACCCGTGCGTGCGAGTACGGGCGTCGCGTGTGCCCCGTACGTACCACACGGAAGACGCACGTGTGAGTACGGCCTCCTTACGGTAAAGTTGCAATCGCACAGAGATCGTACGTTGTAAGCACGTACAACTCACTCACCACTTGCGCAACGTATGATGCACGCAACCGCTCACGGCCAGACTTGGCATGCAGACCACACTCTTACACTTTGTGCAACCGTGCAAGTGACGTGCGTTGACGCCACTCTTTCCCCACGTTTTCAGAAAAAATGTAGCAGACGTACATGTAGCCTAAAAAAAAACGTACGGAGAAAAAGCATGTACGGCGGGTTGTGACCAAGGCTATACTGGTACTTGTACATGTAACTATTTGTAAGGAATCTCTAAATTTTCAACTGGGAGAGATTACAATTGTCAATCTTTCAAGATTTGCTGGGCTTGTGAATTTGAAGAATAGAGTGATTTTATTTATTTAAATTAAAATAATGAAAATTTACAGTTTCACTGAAAGGTTTTCAAAGTTTCAGCACTGCAAGGGAGTGTGGGTAAGGTCAGAGTTCAAGGCCCATCAGAAGAACATGTAGACAAGAATTTACATGGAAACATTCCGAACACAAAGGATTGTGGGATCTGAATCTTTGACCCTGGACCACAATGCACCAGGAGTGCAGAACAATCACATCCTGCTAAAATTGTGTTAAAATTATCGCTGATTGAAAAGTCTTTTTCGGGGAAACTGAAAAATAAAGATTAGTCATGTTTTTCTAATGCAAGTTAATATATTCCATGAAACTGTGTGGCCTTATAATTATTATAGATTTTGTTTAGCAAAAAACCTATTAATCCGTTTTACCCTTGTTGCAGATTTAAAGAATCACCTGAGTGTACTGTAACAGCTATATGTTATGTATTATAGGATGGCTTTAGAAACCTTTGGTTCTTGAGTTGTCTCTATTGAGACATGTACCCCTTAACTCCATTGGTCAGCATACAGATACTCCATGAATGATGCACTTTCCAACCAATCAAATGCATTCTTTTATTCAATTCTGACACATTGTAAATGTTGTATATTACAAACAAAAGTAGAAAAGCTGTAACAGAAGCCAGAACTAACATAACACACGAAGAAACTATGGTCTGGACAGTCATCACATGAAAGATGCCAGCAGGGAGTTGGCGTATGCCATGGGCTTCACATTTGGGTGAGGCTGGAAGAGAGCAGAAATCAGCAGATGAGTGTGAAAACAATGCTGCTTATTACAGTGTCATACTTGCCCAAGCGACCACCACATCACTTAACCAACAGGAAAAGGACTGAAAAGGCAGTCTGGGGGGCTCAAACAAGCTTGATTGGACTTCTCTATTGTTTCTAGGGGCTTGGTGGAACTGAAGGAGCTTCTTCTTTGTTCACTTCTGGGCTAATTATGCAAGGAAATGAATGGAATGATCTCATTTGTTTACTTTGTATCAGAATACTATAAGGCGGCCATCTGACCATAATGACCTGTCCACTTTTTCCACTTTCGTCCAAAGATTTAGGGGACTTGCCTAAGCCAAACACGGTGTCCAACATCACCACAACCATTTGGACTGCACAATGGCCCAATCTTGCCTAGTACATAGGCTGTGTCATTTTCAATTGTGTGGCGGAAAATTTTTTTTTAAACGATAAATAGTGAGAAATCTTGATGGAATCAGCCATTTCGCCATTGATTGTGACAGCATGGCAATCTTTGCACAATGTAAGATATTGCAGGCTGGGTCACTTTGTGTCAGTGGGTCTATTGTAAAATTGGTGGAAATTTTGCTGCATTTTTCTTGTTGTCTGTCATGTCTTGTTGCCATACTTTTTTTTTGTATAAAAAGACCACAAAGTCTTGTCTAAGAAGACCACTTTTTCTTGGTCTCCTGGGTGGTTGTCTTAGACAAGTTTGATTGTAATAATACATGTATATAGAGCATTTTCATGCGACATCACAGGGACACTAACATGGAGACGGATACAGCTTTTTGTATCTCAGTAAATCATAATGATAGCTCAATCAATGTTTTCCAACATCGAGAAACCTCATGACCCCTCATAACATTTAGTATAACACACAGAAAAGAATACCAGTGAGTATATATAAGACATGAAAACTTTCAGAAAATCAAATTTTTGCCTCACAGATATCAGTACGGGATAGGATTGATTCAAATTACTACGTTAAAAGAATGAGCAGAAAATCTGAATGACTAAAAACTAAATTAAAAGTAAGTATTATAGACAAGAAGGGAAGAACGTTTAGGGAATTTTGTAACTTACCACACAGTCATACGTGGTGAACTTTGGAGACAGGTCGGGAGGGTTGAGTGTGATAAAAGCACCTTTGTTTCCCATTTGGTCACTGTGGATGGGAAACATATTTTTGAAAACAACCACTGGACAAACTTCAAAGCGGTGGTCTTGGTCATCATAATTGAAACCCATACTAAAGATTTGAAAATGGTGCCCTCAAAAAAAGCAGCGGCTGTTATGGAGTCCTGGTGGGATCTTGAAATTCCCATCATCCCCACACAAGGGTCTGCATGGAGGGGCACTACAGAGCTACTGGATTATACATGTACATGTAAGTCAGGGCTCGAAATTAACAGTGTTCGATTGCCACTGACCACTAAAATTTAGGCTGGGACAACTAAAAAGTTACTTTGGGACATTTATGGGACAATAGAAAAATAATCAACATCAGAATGTCAGCTCTACTTTTGTTCTTCAGGCACACGTCCCGGCTTTTGGCTCGGAAAAGCCCCCCAAATTTCTTGTCTATTCTGCAATTATAGCGCCCGGGAGTCAGAACATACCGATAAGCAAAATAAAGTTGACTTCAAGTTGCTGTCATACATACTGTACTTAGTCTAAGTAGTACATGTAGACAGTGCTGGGCAATAAGTAAAAAAGTTAATTTCGAGGCCTGTAAGTATTCCAACTAAATTTTGGTTGATTTTGTATCAATAACAAATTGTGTTCCTCTAGAAAATGAAACTAGCCTCTACTCTCAAGACTGCCTTTAAATATTTAAACTTACCAATTTGTAGTATATTCCTCAATCAGTGACTCATTTGAAAGGTAGAAACACCCGGAAGTCACATAGAAAGATTAAGGAAGCGGTCCACATCCAGTTGGAACGTGCCGGGATGAATCGTAATGACGGTTGGGAGCTGCCCAAGTCCTACCTACCCCTACTCCGCAAGGAGGCGGGGGAGGTCAGAAGATCCACACAAGTCTCGACCTAGTCTCGTGTTCTCGCGAGACTAGGTCATTCCGTGATCAAGATGTACAATAGACATCGAAAATTTGGAGGTACGTGTTTCTACCTTTCAAATGAGTCACTACTACTACAACTACTAATTGATAATTCTACGTGACTGATGAACCTCTTCAACATTAAACTTACCAGTAGTTAGGAGCTGAGAAGACAGTGATACACTTCCCATTGTGGGCCTCCTCGTACCCTAGCGGCTTGACCTCGTGACTACGGATGATGTAGTCTAAGTTGTTGAGCTCCAGGAACTTTTGCGTCACATCCGGCCCAAACTGGATAGCTACACCTCGCTTGCTGGGGGCTCGACCAGGCTGGGGAAAAAAAAAGATGTTTTATATTAAATGTTGTTGTTGTTTAGTCAACATCAACAAAGGTGAAGCATGATGCTTTTTGAGTAGCTATACTTGGGGTTATGATGTAAATGACCATCACTGGTAGAGCCAAAAATGTCTATAAAACGTCTAATGGACATTAGACATGATTTAGACATTGCTGAACAAACGCCAGTCGGGAGAACATTAAGTAGACATAGTTACTGAAAAATGACATCGAAATAACCCAAGGTGGACATTTTATATCCATAGTCTCTTCACACGTCAGGTAGGGACACCCCTAGGAGACAGTCCTTTGTTTAGCACAATGTGCACTTATAAAGATACTAGCATCTGTCTATTAATTAATGGTGTCCTGCCCTATAAATTGTCTTGGCTTTGTACAGTGCTTTTCATACGCATGCCAGTTTTCACAGTTTTTTTCTAAAGACATTCTGACAGACACCTCATGAACAATGGAAAACACAACAAGCAAGTCCTCCCCAAACAGACCCTGTAAAGACCAGGAAAGACATTCTTACAAATGTTTAAAAATGTGCTTTCGAGAATGTTAGACGTTTTATAGACATTTCTGGCTATACCAGTGCATGTGGCTTATACGAGGCAAGGGTTTGCCAGGCCTCCATCTGGAAGATTTGTACAAATGTAGTGAATCACTAATTTTTAAGCTTTTAGTATTTCGACCATCACACACCATGGCATGTCCCTCCTCTTTTTTCAAAAGGTGCAGTGGGTTCTTTAATGTGCATAGGGTGTGCCTCTCCCCTCTATTCAACATCCTATATCCGAGGGATGTCCCTATCCAAAGCTAGGTACTCATGCCTGATGTTTTGTAAAGTACATATTGTGTACATGTAGGTATAGCAAGAACAACTCTCATAATTTGGCTGGGTATCCTAATGCCACCACATTTAAAAAAACCAAAGGATTTAAAAGAGATCTACACATGTACTAAATTAAATGCAGCATCAGTAAGTATTCAAGAAATTCTTGAGATTCCCTTAATGGGGGCCCGCAAGCCCTTTTCCGTAGAGCGTAATCGGCCGTTTTAATTCTACGTAGAGCGTAGACGGACCACAGACTAATATTTTTGCGTAGAGCGTATTCAATGTTTTAATTCTGCTTAATGCGTTGTAGCCACTTGGAATTTATCGTAAAGCGTAATCGGGAGGTTTCCGAATTCAGCGTAGAGCGTTGTCGGGACCCCCCCTTGCAGGCCCTCCTCAATTATAGCACTGCTTTGATGTGTTGGTTCTAGTGCACCTTGGAGAATTATGAACATGAACATTGCCTCTAGTCTACATGTAACTCCTTAACACTTTTTAATGCTTTAGTATCCTACATTGTTGAATCAGATATATGTTGGACACGACACTCACACTCACTCACTGCACGGCTTAGCGTCCGTTGTTCCCCGTCATGCAAGGGTTGGACGTCGTGGGGTGTCGTTTAGGTCTAATAGCTGCTCTCCAGCTGCTTCAACTATAATCATTATTTCATTAAAGACTATAACTAAAGGGAGGTGTCTACTGTTGTTTGTATCGACAATAAAAAGTTTTGCTCACCAGGATTTGAGGATCTGACCACAACAGCTCACACATCACACCTGTCACAACAAAAAGAGGAATCTTCAATACACCACATGGTTGTCATCAGGCAACAACAGTAACTGTTCATTAAAGTTTCTTTTTTTTTTATATATATCGATACACATATATATCGATTATATTGATTTAAAGTATTAACATAATGCTCCCCACTTACCCCGATGCCTCTCCAGCTTTCCCTTCCGAGATGCAATAAGACGTTCTGTCTTTTCAAACTAAAAGACTTAGTAGTTATCAGTTTTTTAAAGGACTGGAAATGTATTGTTTTTAGACGTCTGCACCTAAAGATGAACATTTTCCCTGAGAAAATTATCAAATTTTTAGGGGAGATGCATTTAAAGATAAATCTCCAAATATAATCATAAAGGTATTTAAGTCACAATTTATATTATTTTTTTCTTTTAACCAATTCTGTATATTATTCCAAAATAACACAACATGTGGACATTCCCAGAAAAAGAACATAGGTTTCTTCATTGTCATGGCAGAACGAACAGGAACTAAAGTCAACCAATTTTCATTTAGGACTTTATCTATAATGTTGGGTAATACTATATGTGAATTTCTATTTCCTGTTGACTGTTATCACCTATATGAAGTATAGAAGAAATAAAGGTGGTGCAGGTAAAACATGTCTGGTGCAGGTAATTTTCAATGTTACTTTACTTTCAATGCATATTTATTTACACAATCGCTAATGTTTCTCACCTGCTTAAATTTTGATGCCAGTCCAACATCCTCCTCAGAAGGTGAGGAACATTAAGTTGTGTAAAAATATCCTATGTTCTACCAACCAGATGAAATTATTTTATATTTGCGACCTTACCGCAGTTTACCAATTTGCAGGACAAAAACTAAAAACAGTCTCCAGTTTAATTAATTCCAGACTAATTCCATATCTCACCAACCTTACATCTAGATGGGCTAATTTTGTAAACTAGAGGTAAAAATGATGCAACCCAATTCTGCAGAATTCTGGCTGACCAGTTCCCAGAAATCTGGCTCCAGTTCAGAATTCTGCAGAATTGGGTTAATACCCAAGGGGTCCTCGATGGCTACCACATATTTTTCACATCATTTTTACTTAGAGTTTACGATATTCAGTTCAGTTCAGTTCATCCTTCAGGTGACACCATGTACTGTCTCCACAAGTTAGCGATATTAGCCCATCTAGATGTAAGGTTGCTGAGAGATATTGGAATTAGTCCGGAGTTAAACTGGAAGTCCAGAATTAAACTGGAGTCAGTTAAATTTAAAAACAAACCTGAGTCTGGAGGTTGTCTATTCCTGTCTATCTTCTTGATTTCGTCCAGCGTCACATCATCTCTACTGAAGAGCCCTCCATGCATACACTAGGGACAAACAACACAGTGTTAGAAATACCCATCTTGCAGACTGAAAAAATCAGGTTAGGATGTTGGCATAATATTGTTTAATATTAGCTTTATATTTACTGAATGTAAAATGTTTGTCAACATGCAAAATTGTGTATCCTGAACTCCACCCGACCATGGTTAGGCCACAAAAAGTAATTTTTATGGATGACATCAGCGCACGCATTAATTTTTGCCTGATTTTGGAGAAAAAAAAGAAGAAATTTTGTTGTCTTCTGACAGTGGTCAACATGCTGAAAATGGGCAAAGATGTCTGTTGCCATGCCGGAATGTGGATGGTAGATAAATATGAAGAGAGAAGACAAGAAAAGGTGATGAGTGAGTTAAAATCATTTTAAAATGTAGGTTCCTTCAAGTTGTTTTTTTAGCCCGTCTTGTTTTTTCGCCTGCTTGCATTAGATTTGGAGTCTGCGGAGGATGTCATCAACAAAATTTACTTGCTGTGGCCTTATAGGAGCAGAGGGGCTGTGGTAATTGGCTGGTGTTTATTGAGGTTGGCTACTGTTCAGCTTTCAAAATGTTTAAAACATTAGGGTGTGGATGGGAAGTTCGGCCATGTTGAGGTTAGGGCTGGTATTCAGGAGTATAGATCAGCAGTGGTCATGGTTGGAAGTCAAATTTGACTCAAATTTCACTTGATTTTTATAGACGTGGCCTAACCAGAACTTTAGCCAACCTAGGTTGGTTTGTGCATGGTTGGTACTCTCCAAGCAGAGGTAGGGTCGCTCGGTATTTTGGCAGTATTTTCGCGTTTTTAATACGTTCTACTTTTACGGTTTTTCTCTGGTCTTCCTCCCCTTACAAAGACCAGAGAAAAACCGTAAAAGTAGAAAGACGTAATTAAAAACGCGAAAATACTGCCAAAATACCGAGCGACCCTACCTCTGCTTGGAGAGTACATGGTTGGGGGAGGGTTCTGAATGTGTGACAGGGTCTTCACAGAAGGTTTTACAATGTACCAGGATCTTGCTGTTGATACAGTGTGTGAGCAGTAGTAAGTTTTACCAGGATTTTGCTGTTGATACAGTGTGTGAGTAGTAGTAAGTTTTACCAGGATCTTGCTGTTGATACAGTGTGTGAGCAGTAGTAAGTTTTACCAGGATTTTGCTGTTGATACAGTGTGTGAGCAGTAGTAAGTTTTACCAGGATCTTGCTGTTGATACAGTGTGTGAGCGGTAGTAGGTTGTAGACTTCAGTGAAGAGCTCGGCCATCTGTGCAGAGTACTTCGTCTTGACCTCTCCCTCGAAGCCATACATCTGGTTCATCGTCTCTGTCTCATGGTTACCTTAAGGAGACACGGAGGACAACAACGCTAGATTCAGTATGAAAAGACAGGTTAAGCTCCGGTCACAACCCGCCATACGTGCTTCTGCGTGCTGTCTACGTGCAAAAACGTGGGCAAATGTAGGGCATCCGTGCGTGGTGAGTACCGCCTCCGTACGGAATCCTACGGATTTGGGAGCACGCTGACATGCCGTAGAACTTTAAGTGCATGTGACACTTTTTCTGCTTGCGGTCTACGGATTCACCACCCGTGCGTGCGAGTACGGGCAATGCGCATACCCCGTACGTACCGTACAAAAGACGCACGTGTGAGTACAGCCTCCTTACGGTAAAGTTGCAATCGCACAGAGATCGTACGTTGTAAGCACGTACAACTCACTTACCACTTGCGCAACGTACGATGCACGCAACCGCTCACGGCCAGACGTGGCGTGCAGACCACACTCTTACACCTTGCGAAACCGTGCGAGTGACGTGCGTTGATGCCACTCCTTCCCCACGTTTTCAGAAAAAAAGTAGCAGACGTAGCCTCCCAAAAAATGTACGGACAAAAAGCATGTACAGTGGGTTGTGACCGCGGCTTTACAGGGTATTACTGGTATACGTAGGTAGTGCTGTGTACCAGTTCACTGGACTTGGATCAGGACTTGTAAGAATGTTTAGGTTCAAGTCCAAAAAAAACCTAAAAGTCAAGAGTCCGGACTTATTACCCAAAAAAAACAAGTAAAATCTGAGATTTTATACCTCCGGGCTTTTTATTGTATATTTTTATATTTTGTTTACATAACAATTGTTGCGTGCCGCAGGACTAGAATTTATCACGACCGGACAGCCCTCTGTGTGAGGGGTCACCTTTGTGGACGAGACCGACAGTACCTAATACATGCCAAAGGTCAACGGTCGCGACCACCTTCACGCTCAAAGGGGTGTTCTAGGGTCACCAAATGGCACCATTTTCACTCCCGAAAAACATGTACAATAAAAACAAAAGAATGTGCATCATCTGCAGCCCAATAGCAAAACATATACCGAGTCTCAAAAGAATCCGTTCACCCAAACACGAGAAACAGCTGCGAACATCACAAAACCCTTCCACGGAAGGATGTCTCCTCCCCCGGAGGTAAAAACCCATTTCACATACCCCTTTTCTTTCCAAACTACCTAAAACCATCCGTAGATTGCAAAATCTTTGCGGCAAAATGAAGAAAACGTTGCCATCGGGCATCGTCAAGTGTCGGCCTCCATGTTTCGTGGCCAAAGTTTTGCCCAAGCAACATTGCAAGGTTGCCAACATGCAATTTTGTATATGCCATGGGTTTAGGTCTGGTCTTACGACTACGAGTCCTGGAACTGAACCTAAACCTCTGGACTTGAATCCAGACCTGAACCTAAATGTGGGTTTAGGTACACAGCACTTCCGGTAGGTAACATTTTAACACCAAAAAATGCAATATCTTAATTGAAGAAATCTTTGTGTGATTGTAAATTTTACTTCCACTTTTCAACATACATTGTACATGTATTTGTGCAGTCATCTCACTTTTCTAATATTTATGGTTCCTGAAAACAGCCCACACAAGGCACATTCAGTTTGTGCATAGCAAAACTGTAAAATACCAGAGGATTGCAATAAAACAAATTTTTGCAAATCAAAAAAAATTGAAGAGGCGAATCCGAGAACCAACAAATTAAATTAGTGTGGCCTAAAGATAAGACACTTTGTTACACTATGCAACTTTCAAAGAACAGACCAACATATACATTATGTACAACAGTATTCTCAAGTTCATTCCACTCCTTGTTTTGATTGCGATAACCTTCTTTATGGCCTACCTGGGCCGCGATTACGTTCGATACGGTGTTCCGGCCCGTGTGATAACTAGCGGTACGGCCTGGGGGTTCTTAACCTGTACGGCCCGGGGCTTCCAAATGTTCCATAGAACGATTTGAACGCGTTTCTCCCTTACCGCGTGCACCTCTGTCGAAAATTCGAATGCAAAATTTGGACGTTGGAATTGATGTTGTTGCATTTTTTGGGTTTAGGGACACCAAATTTTGCTCATTTCGCATTAAAAGGCGTGTTTTCTTGGGTGGGTATGACATAAATAAAATACAACACGGTGTATTCCGCATCGCCCTAGGTCCCAGCCCTCCCACGGATCGGATCTCCCCCCAGCCTGCGGCCATTGGGCGATCTGACGCTCGGTCGGGCTGGTACCTCGGGCGATACGGAATACCCCGTGTTGTATTCTATAATTATCATGACTGTACATGATTGTACAATGTACTTACCCCTGGCCATGAAGAAGCTATCTGGTATCAAGAGTTTCCATCCAAACAGCACCAGTATACACTCCACTGAGAAGGAACCTCTGTCCACAAAGTCACCATTGAATAACTTAGAATACAGTCAAGGAAGTCAAGTTTTCAACACTGTTTCTAAATATTAAGTTTATTACAATTCTTTATACCAAATGCAGGTAAAGAAGGGAAACATATTAATTATGGGTTCACCACACCACGAAGTGGTGTGGTGAAACCATATTGCTTTTTCTGATGTTTCTTCTCCTTCTTCTCCTCCTCCTTCTCCTGCCATTTTTTAAATGGATTCAGCTTCTTCATTTTAGGGCCTAAGGTCCTGAAATTTGGTATGGAGGTACAGTGGGCAAATACCCCTAGGCGTTTTTTAAAATATTGTGATACAGGCTTTTAGAATGGTTTTATTTGAGTTTTTTGGCTGTGTTATAGCAAATGTATTACTGTGTTAGTTTGCCTTGTTTACCACGTTTGGGCATGAGTCATCACAATGGAATGCAGGGCATCAACCAATAGGCATGCAGCTTTCCTCTATACTTCTTGCTGATTGGCTGTTGGGATTTAACTTGATCAACACCTGCACAGAAGCATTTCCATACTGACAGTATGTCTGTATTCAAGTGTTTTGGTAGGTATTTCAAGCTTTCCTGCTCCAGCATTGGAATGCCGGGCATGGACGTTTTTTTTATTTTGAAAATCAACAGTTTGCATTATGCAATTAAAAATCCTAACCAATAAAGTAGGGAATAGCTATCCAACTGTTGTTTTAGTTGTATTTTACTTCATATTATAGTTATATCAATGTAAATCATTGTTTTCCCTTGTGTTTCTCATTCTTTCCCTGCCATGTGGTAAAATGTGGTGAACCCATCGCTGTATTTGCTCCAAAGCAAATATTGGCCTTTCTAGTTCAAAAATAGATTGTGAGTATAGTACTGTATGTCAGCTGGTTTTGCCCTGTAAACCACTCCCAATATTTCAACAAGAATTAAAACAAAAAGAATAAATAAATAAATAATTTGATTTATGATATGGAATAAATGGTGCCCAAAACAATGTATGAAAAAATATAGGTATAGGGGGAAAAAAGCTGTAATAGTGTGTACAAACTGAAAAAAAAGTTCCCATTCCACTTAGGATATAGAATCTTCTTCTTACACAACCATAGAGTTTCTCACCTGCTTACGCTTTTGCGGCGAGAATGCAATCCCAAACGTGGCTGAGCTTGTATCCCCTCTCGTCCCGGTTCATCACTGGGGTTGACTTCCTTATCCAGACTGCTTCTTTAATCCAACGGATTCTTCTGTTGTCCTCTCTATCTATGACCCTGGCTCCCTCCCAGTCTATCACACAATTGTTCCTGGCAACATGGTCTGTAACTGCCGATTTCTTCTCTTCTTTTTGTGCTTGCTGTTTCTGGGACCGTGTATATCTTATGGCTTCGCTGTTGTCTGCCTCTTTTCTGTGTTCTTCCAGTCTTTGCCAAAGGTCCTTCCCGTCTCTCCAATGTACACTTCAGCACAACTTTTGCAAGGAATTCTGTAAACACAATCCGTTTTCACATGGTCCCCCAACTTGTCCTTAGGGTGGACAAGCAAGTTCCTCAATGTTGTTTTAGGTTTAACTGCTGTGGTTATCCGGTGTTTTCTAAAGATCCTTTCTAATGGTTCGGTGACACCTTTCACATATGGGATGACCACCATGGTCCTGGTTTTCTCCCCTTCCTTCTTGTTCTTCTCTGTCTGCTTTGGCCTTTTCTCTTTCTGTTCAACTTTTCGAAAGGTCCATTGTGGGTAACCACATCGGATGAGGGCTCTTCTGATGTGTTGTGTTTCTCTTTCCTTGTCCTCCTCCTCCGTCACTACAGAGTTACATCTGTCCATAAGGGTGCGGATGACTCCAAGCTTCTGGTGCAGCGGATGGTGGGACTGAAAATTTAGATACTGGTCTGTATCTGTGCTTTTCCTGTACACTAGAAGTTTGACTGTTCCATCCCCCTTTCGTACCAGGAGAGTATCCAGGAACGGTAATGTGTTGTCTTTCTCCTCCTCATGCCTGAACTGAATACTTCCTGTGGGATCTATGTTGTTAAGATGGTCTGTGAGATCTTGATGGACACCCTTCTTCACTATCTCCATCACATCGTCCACGTATCTCTTCCAAAGCTTGGGTCTACAGGAAATGGGTGCTGTGGCAATGGCTTCCTGTTCCAGCCATTCCATAAACAGGTTGGCCAACACTGGAGATACTGGGCTACCCTTAGTTGTCCCAAACTTCTGCTGGAAAATATCCCCCCGGAAGCTGAAATAAGTGGTTGTGACAATAAAAGATAAGAGTTCTAGGATATCCTCAACCTCTAGGTTCGTCCGGTTCTTCAGCTCTTTATCCCCTTGGAGTCTTCTTCTGATGATGCCAAGTGTCTCTGGGATGGGGGTATTGGTAAAAAGGGAGACAACGTCATGGGACAAGAACATCTCATCTTCCTCTACTAATATAGTGGACATTTCTTCTGCTAAGTGTTTTGAGTTCTTAATGTGGTGTGTAGACTTCCCCACCAAAGGTGCTAACAGATCTGCCAAGGACCTGGACGTAAGCAGGTGAGAAACTCTATGGTTGTGTAAGAAGAAGATTCTATATCCTAAGTATCTTCCAACCTGATGAAATTATTTACGGTTCCCATTCCACTTTATGGCAGAGCATAGGGGTGGTGCCCATCTCCATATCTGTAATCCTTTGGCCACACAGTTGTGCAACCACTACAGCAGGGGGCTGGTCCACTGGTAGTGCTGTGTGTTTGACCTTCCCACACTCTTTCTCATAGATGCTGAGTGCTATGCAGAGAAACCAGGCTGGGGTTTGAACTCACGACCTCCCGGTTACAAGGTGAGCACTCCACCGATTGAGCTATTGCACCAGTTTATACCGTACATACTACAAAGTTTTTTATGCCCCAAGCCAACCATTGGATTAGATTTCCTTCCTGCTATTTTGAAAGGCTGGTCCCTCAAGGTGTTGTCAAAAATAAGTATTAAGAAAATTTTACAACTCAATTGCAGTACTGTACAAATGGCTCCGCCCCCGAGGTGTCGCCAAAAAAAGCAAAGGATACATATGGATTTTCTTTACTGGGGTTTCCATTCAGTTTGAAGATGTTCATAAGGTCATAATACTGGCCATGGATGTCACCACACACTGTGAACTTGGAACCCTGGGAAGAAATCAATCATCAATAGGCAATTAGGCCACACCGCCTTAATCTTATGGATGACATCCACGCGCGCATTGATTTTCACCTGTTCTCAAAAAACAAATAAAAAAGATCACGTCCTCCGAGGTTCTGGCCTGGCTCTTGGCCGGGGTAGTCCATAGTAGTTATGGCAATATGGAGCCTGTGGTAACTCTGGAGGACGGCACCCAGGCTACCGAAGCTCCACGACTAAAGAACTCAGTACATATGTACAGTGCCGATTCATAAATTCCGCAAAAAGCCAGCATGTTGTACGTCGCTATGCACTGTCGCAAATTCACTGCACCAGCTTTGTTTTCCTGTGGTTTAGTAGCATTTTTTTTATTCGCCCGCGCACACTAGTTTGGGTGTCTTCATGAGGATGTCATCCATAAAATTAAGTCGGTGTGGCCTTACATAAAGGTAATATTAGAGTTCCATGACCCCATATCTTCACCAAACAATGTTAATCTTTATGGAATGATCATGAGGAATTATACTGTTTTTTAATTCCAGGTCCTAATTCATTAATTTAATATATATATATATATGTCCATAAACCCTTACAACCAGGGCTCAAGCCAGCTCTAAATCCTGTTCCGTCAGCCAAAGTCCATGATCTGACCTGTAGGGAGAGTGCTCAGAATCTAGGGGGTGTCTGGGGGCAAATTTTGGATTTCGAAACCTTTAAAAACAAACTTTCCCACATTTTGAGAGGCAAATCATAGTTGTTATTGTGATCCTTTTGAAAATTGAATGTTACAATGTATATTTCTGGTATCAAGGTTGACGGATTGGTTTAGAAATTTTTCCTTCATTTTGCCACAAAGTTCCTGCAATTGACGGAAAAATGGGTGCTGGCTAGAGCCCTGCTTACAATTAAGAATACTGATTCACAACGACCAACAATTGCACACATTACAAATTCTGAGTGGTGCAGGTGATATGAAGATAATTTTAATTTCTATGTTCCCTACACCAGTGCAAGTAAGCTGAAAAACGTTTTTTGGTCCTTCATACTCTTTTCAAAGACAGAAAGAAAGACATCACACTTACATCAGATATTTTGATGTCCACCAGGGAAGGTTGCTGCTCAAAAATTTCTTTCACATCAAGTAAGATCTAGAGATGGGAAAAGAGAAACTGATGATAAATGAGTGAGTGAGTGAGTGAGTGAATGGGAAGAATTATTTAATATATATTTGTTTTAAAAGGAAATTGAAATGACTAATAACAAATTAAAACGTAAGTAATTTAGATTGTAATAAATTAGGATAAAGAAATAAGTTACAATACAGATGTCTATTATAAACAATTATAGATAAAAGTCAGACAGGTACCAAATTTGGATAACGAAATAAGGTTTGAAATAAAACACTGAGAATTTTAATTCTCAAACAAATTTTGTTCTTAAAACAACGCAACAACTTATTAATGCACAATCATCACAAATGATATTGATACTTGTACATTGTATGTCTATCCTTTATCTATACATGACATTGTGTCTGACTCAGTAGTAATATTCAAGTGGATTGTATAAATGATATTAATTTTACTTTTAATATTTTAATAAGTTCATGAGATGGTAACCTTGTATGCATATTTCCTGTGCAGTTTCTTCTGTGCCTTGAACCACTCCATCAGGTCTTCCATGAACTTGACTGTCACCTTCCCATCTTCTAATGCAGGACCACCGTAGTCATCCTCAATATCTAACAAAAAAAAACAACAAAGAGTAAAAATCTGTCTTCAAAATTTCAACAATTTTGAACATGTAAGAGTAAAGAATTTTTTCATGTACACAATAAGTACAATATTAAATATGTACATGTACATGTACATGTACTCAGTAATACATATTTTCACTTGCAACACCTACATGTAGCTGCAGCTGGAACTGTTTTTTTTTTTCATGGACCAGTACAGGTACCTGCACATACAAAATGTACATGTCCATAGCCAGGATTTTGATTGAGGGGGGGGGGGAGGTTTCTTTCCATTGTCTGAGGGACCATTGATGCGCACATTGAATGTTCTGAAATAGCATTTCCTGCATTTTTGAGAGGATTTCAAAGGAAAAATAAGAGATAACTTCTTATTCAACGGGGCTCAAAATACCAGTGCACCTATACTGTATTAAAAAAAAAAGAATTTTGAGGCCTGTTCAATGACACAGTTAGAAGTTTTTTTAGGATTCCAGCCTTGCCAGAGATACAAATCTGTCCACCTTTTAAAGAAAAATTTTGAACCTTTAAATAAAAAGTGGACCTTTGGGCCTTGTGAGTGGTTCTTCTGAACCCGCCGAACTCCCCCTGGCTACAGGCATGATAATTGCAGGTGGTATTTTGAGCCCTGTATCAAACTAACTGTCGCTGCATGCCTGCGAAGCTGGTGTTACTCTAAAGGCACTGTGTACAAACCAGGCAAAAATTAGGTTGCCCATCAGAATTTTAGGTTGCCCCATCTGTAAGTTACTACTTTCCTCAAATTAAGTAATGTTACATACATAAGCCTTTGACAATATTTCTCACAGCCTTTAGTTAACTGATACTAGTAATAGCCATTAATACCTAAAATTAAAAAGCATCTGCCGGATACAGTGATGCAAGCCAAGTGGGCATGATTTGGGGGGGGGGCATTCTTAAAATTCAGGTAGCACACTGGGCTACCTAGGTTCAAAAATAGGTTGCCCCAAGTAAAACTTGGTTGCCCGGGGCAACTGGACAACCAGGTATTTTGCACGCTGCTTTTCTTACACAATATTTTCCAACAATTTCCTGTCTTAATTAGGTCCCCCAACTTTTTTTGCCCTGCGGTGGCATAGTTGCATTCGTTGCGTTTCGCTGCGGTGTGATGAGTTGCACGAGAAATATCCCTAAGTTGTACAAGTTACTACAATGTACCTAATAGTATATATACAGGGTGCTATATAGATGGTACTGTATGTGCAAAACAACAAGGGTTAATAAAAGTTACACAGTTAACTCACCCATGCTCTCCAGGTTGATGGATTCAGACACACACTTCTTCACGTCATCCACTCTGATGGCCCGCTCAAACGCCTGCCTCTTCACGATCTTGTTACATTCTGTAAACTTGGCCTTGGCATCCTTGTCATTAGGGCGAACTTTCACAACCTTTTATAGTGGGATAAACATAAAATACAATTTAATTTTTTTCTCTGCAGAAATGATTTGTCTTTTTGCCAAGTAAAATCAGCAAATTAACAAGTAGAATCTGAGATTTTATTGTATATTTTTAATATATATGTTGTTTGTTATGTATAGTTGATGGTGTTGAATTTTGTGCACAACAACAATTGTTGCACGCCGCAGGACTAGGGTTTTAAACAAAGAATTTATCGAGACCAGACACCCCTCTGTACGAGGGGTCATATACGTGGACCAGACCGAGAATATTTTAAACACGCCAAAGGTCAACGGTCGTGACGATTTTCACGCTCAAAGGGGTGATCTGGGGCCACCAAAAGGCACCATTTTGACGCCCTAAAACACATATACAATAAAAACAAAAGAACGTGCATCAACTACAGCCCAATAGCAAAACATGCACTGAGTCTCAAAAGAATCCGTCCACCCAAACGCGAAAAACGGTAATTAAAAGAACTGAAAACCAAAAAAAGTAACATTTTGCAAAACGAATATGTCATGTTTACTTTCATATGGTCTAGCCTAAGAAAATACTGCTGTTCGTTCTTGCTCAAACACATTATATGGTCCCTCCAACTGTCCTGCCACTTGCTACATGTACATATCATCCAACACCACAAGTATGCTACACCACCAGTTACCATGGTGACAGACACTGGTTCAGGTCATTAACCTGGTTTGTTTTGATTGTTTAGTGGGAAGGTAAGCATAAGAATGAACTTACTGTTTCAAAATCCTTCAGTGCTATCTTGAACTTTCCAATAGCCATGTTTGCAGAGGCTCTCCTATAGTAACCCTGCATAGAAGTAGAAAATTTAGATAAGGCCATGTTGATTTGATTATATGGATGACAATTCCGCGCGCGCATGAATTTTCGGCCGTTTCCAAAAAAAAAAAGTTTTCAACCATACTGTAAATCGTACAAAACAGTTGCAAAATGAGGAAAAATATACCATAAGTTATCAAAAAAATTAATAAAAACAATACCAATGTCGTAGAATGCCAAAATCAAACGAAAAAAGACGAAATTGTAAAGAAATGAACTTGAAGACTAGATTATTCGCCAAACCATATTCTGTGCCTATTTGCTCAACTCTCATGACCACGTAGATTTCAATTAATAGAAAAGTTAACCTTTTTTTTGCAAAACTTTTTTTTATTCGCACGCGCGCATCAGTTTTGGGGCTCCCGCAGGATGTCATCCATATAATCAAATCAACATGGCCTAAAATTTAAAAAAAGGTTAGGTCCAATTCACAAAGAAGACTTTTCATACTTTTCAGACAATCATATATACCTTTTGTCTATGTTAATGGTAATACATTAGGCCACACCAAGTAAATTTTATGGATGA